GCTAGTAAAGTAAAGGGTATATCTAGTAATTTTAATATATATCTAAGTTTGTAAATTCTTTATTTATTTAGTATTAATAACTAGCTTTTTTTTTAGTATCTCAAATATTTGGTTTTTATTTTTTTTATTTTTTTATTATTATTAAAGTAGCTTATATAGCTGAATGAATTTTATTAGTTTGATATATAAGATCATATAAAAGTAATTCTCTACAGTTTGTAATTATATAAAAAGTATACAACAAGCTACATGTACAACTTTAGTTAATTTTTAATTTAAGTAGTCTACTGCATAGGCAATAGACTACCTGATTATTTCTATACTATACTACTATATCTGTAACTCATCTGTGAGTTACTTATTTAAATATTCTGTTTAACTAACTTATATTGTTACAAACTAATATTACTATAACATCTAACTACTTAAGCTCGCTAGCTTATTACAGATCTATTTACTGCTTTAGTTTAGATTCTCTTAGAATGTATATTATTCAACATATTGTAAGCATGCAGAGTTCTAGTTAATCTTGAAGTATATCTACTAGAGCAGTCCATATCTATTTTATAAATTCACCTAGCTTAGACTCTTGTAATATTTATACAATTCTAGTTTCAACTATAGCTCTCTACTAGTTTTCTGTTTGCTGATCTCTTCGGATATTTTATAAGATAGATCTTCCTAATTCAGTTAGCTACCAAACCAAGTTAGTATTGCTAATTCTTTTTGTAAAATAGACTTATTCATATCTAATTTGATCTACATTTTTAGAGTAACAGTTTCTTTTCTAGATTAAGTGTTAGCTGATATAAATAACTATTAAAAGCTATATACTTTACCAACTCAAAACTATTAAGATTTATTCGTGCAATATTATATCATACTCCTAATATCCAGATGATATTAGTGCAATGAGATTTACAAGATTACAACTTCAGAAATGAACAAGGTTTATCATAAGTTGAATACAAAAGTTCTGGTAATTATTCAAATTTATTAACAGTAGTATTTGAACTCCAAATCTCTTGTATAGCAGTCTGGTAATCTAACTACTATATTAAGATAACTAGATCTAAATATTTTGTTTTTGTTGTTTTTGTTTATTACTATTATATTATATATTTCTTTATATTTATCTATTGCTATAGTTAAAAGATGCTAAAATTCTTATTAATAAATAGTAGTTTTAAAGTTAAAATTAATTATCTTGTTGAAGAAACCCAAATTTTTATTAGTTAAAAAAGATCAAAATATTATATTAGTCTAGAATTATCAAAACTAGTAACTGCTTGAATATGTTTTTTAAAAAAGGTAATATACATTAGTTGTTTATGTAATATCTATCTTCTTGTTTTGTTTAGAATTTGTTGTTTGTTTAGACTATAAGAAGATTTTTATATTTGATAATAAGACATTATGCAGAGTATTATTACTTTCAGTTTGTTGTTATTCTAATAATATTATAGCAAAATCTAATAGAGATAAACTATAATTGTTACTTTTTTTATTATTTTTTGCAATTTGTAAATCTTTGAGAGTTTGTTAATTAAGAGATTAGTTTTCTTTTATTTTTGTATTTGTTGTTATATTGATCTTTATTAGGATTAATATCTAAAGTAGTTTCTTGTTTTAGTGAACTAAAATTAGCTGTTTTTTTTGCTTGTTATGTTACTGACATTTTTAGTACTAACAAACACTTGTTAGAAGTAGAAAGTGTTGCTTTTGTAGTCTCTCTTTTTTTTTGTCTATTATGTAGTCTCTATGTATGTAAGGTAGTATTATTGAGAAGATTTATTTAGTTAGTTATAGTTGTTATAATATATCTTTTCTGTTTAACTCAAATTTTTTCTTTGTTTATTTTTTTTTGGGATCTACGAGAAAGAGTTTAGGCTATATTAGTTAGATTTTTTTAAAATCTCTTAGATAAAAAGTTATAACCATTTAAAAAATTGAAACACTTCGTGTAACTATTGAGTATAAACTTCCTGCACTATAGCATAAAAACAAACCAGCTTAAATTATACTCACCCTAACCCTAATTTAGGCTGAGTATCATGTGAAAATCACTCGGTTAACTGTTCTTCAAACTACTACCAATTTACCCCGTAACAGTAGAAATCTGAGAGAATTTCAAGAATGTTGAGATATTCTTCTCCTGATACCAATTTGATATTATTTCTCAAGCACTCGGATCTTTTGAATTTCTCACCTCTCTTCAGGTTTTATAGCCATTTTTTTTTTATAGATTTAGCTTAATATATTGCCAAATAGGCTCGTTGAAAATGCCTTTTGTACGTCTTTTGTACTAAAGGAACTTAATGTAAGTTAGTTTTATAATTATAAATAAATCCTTAAAATATGATTTATTTACGTATATTTATTGAAGACACATCGTAATTTAACAAAAGGAACTGATCCACAATTAAATTTAAAAATAACACGGACGAAAAACATATTTACGAGAATAGCTTGATAATAAAATTCAATTATTACGGTATGATGATTAGTTAAATAGGAATAAATGTATTGATTAACATTAGATCAATTTAATGGTTGCCTATTGTATAAATTAAGCTCTTATCTATTATAATTACTATATTTTAATTCCTCCATTACATTCCAGGCCAACCTATCTTTCTATTAAAAAAAAAATAAAATAAAATTCCTCCAGCATATGAAAGCATTTATTTAATATTTAAGATAATTATATAACTGTATTGACAATAAAATGTGTAAATTGGTTTATTACGTAATTCTACTTATTATCTGGTAGTTTAACACATAAGGTGTAATTCTGCATTTGAAAATCCTCTTATTTAATTTATTTTATTTCCATAAATTTTATATACGTCTAAGCGTTAGAACAAGTTATGATGAAATCACATGATTAATATTGATCGGAACATTTTTCCTTCTATCACTGTATATAGTAAATTGGTTCATAATAGTGGTCAAAATAATTAATTTAGGTATTTCATAAATTAGCCGCAATGCTTTGTTAAAAATCAACAGGAATAAATGCATATAATCGGTAATTAGCGTTAGATTTTAAAATAATCAAAAAATGGGCGTAAAAAGTCTTAAACCTTAACGTTAAATTTAGGGAATTGCTATTGTCACCCCCATTTTTGCTAATGCCACCCTTAAATGCAAAAAAGTGCACCGGAAGAGATATAATTATTAATTAAAGTTGTTTATTAGGTCTTTCCGGTTCTAATGGTGCTAAAATCATTAAAATCGGATCAGTGGTTCTTAAAATATTTATATCTAAATTTTATAATCTTTAATTCACTTTTAAAAAAGAACCACCGGTCCAATTTTAATGATTTTACCACTATTAAAACCAGATAAACCTAATAAACAACTTAATTTGATGTTTACTTAATAATTATATCTCTTACAGGGCACTTTTTTGTATTTAGGGGGCATTAGCAAAAATGGGGGTGGCAATAGCAATTCCCTAAATTTATCGACGAATAGGTAAGAGCAAATGCTATACGATAACGATAAACTTGAATAGCTATTTTAAATACATAGATTAATAAATGGCCTTTATTCAAAAGGAAAAAGTCACTTTGTTTAACCTGTGACACTGATATTATAGATTAACGCAGTAAATGTTATCGCAATATGGAGACACAAATAATTTGATTATTGTATGTAAAATTCAACCTATCGGATAATTAGCATAGTCAATTTTTAATTAGTGGTAGAATCACTAGTTTCGTAGGCTTTATTAAGAATAAGTGAGGACACATACCATATTAATAGATGAGTCAAAGCCTTGTAATATCTGATATATTATATTAGTTTACAGTTTATTAGTCACCCGATTTTAATTTATCTATACGTAGGCTTTAGAGCATCTCCATATTAGTCTGTTATGCTAAAAAAAAAAAAAAAAAGTACGTGTCGCTTAATCATTTGCGGTTTAATTTTGGCCGTTTAAAATGAGCCAATGAACTCCATTCCTTATATAATTCTTGCCTACGTAGCACTCCGCAACAAATGTATTTAAATAACGTGTAATTGTAACGTATGAATAAGTTTGTGCATCTGTTTCGTACCGAATTCGTAGTAATGCATCTTATCAAATAAATTCGGAGTCATCGAATCATTATAGCAAACCAAAAATCATCTGATTGCATATTCCTGATCTGGTAGTAACACAGTACCATTTTACGCGTTGAATTCTAGAAAATTTAAATGCAAATCTTTTTCAGACACGCTCTATTATAGTAATTCATCAAAGCATAATAACAAACAAAAGAGAAAAAAAAAATCAACAAACGAGGTTGCAAAATTTATGCATGCATCAATAATAAGATGCAAGATTCTGCAACTCAGGTTCGTACGTACTTGTTATCATTATGTATTATTGTCATGGGATTTGTTGGGACGTAGTGTGGGACATTAAAACACCTACCTTAGTATGAATTATTTTTGTTAATCTAGAATTGAACATGAGTTACGAGAAGGGGATACTTTTTATTGCTCATGAAAATGAGTAAATGATTACCCAAATTTGAATCAATAACGATAAGCAATTTTAAAATTTGTTATTAGTAATAAAGCCACAAACAAAATTCTAAAATTGTTAAATCGGATCTTCTAATATTCAACTAGCTAGGTAATTTCAATAAAAGTAATAAAAGTTCCTACGTAATTTATTCAAAGACGCGTATGCAAACACAGTAACAAATTCCAAAATTAACTGTTGTTTTTATTTACATACGTACGTACGCATGTACGCCTTCTGATGCGCATTAGGCACGATCGAATTTAGATATTATCAAAGACAAAACCGATCGTCAATTCAATTTTTGAAATTTACTCCAAGTAGTTACAAATCACGCATTATGAACAATTACCTGTTCATTGTTGCTCATAGAAGTATTGAACATGCATGTTTAAACAATTTGTCGAAAAAATTATATAAACCTCTGTTCTATTCTAAGCTATGCTAGATAAGGATATCAACATTTCTTCTAATGTAGATTATGGCTAACGCACAAGCTCAAATTTTTATAAACGCTTTAAATCGTGCTAATATATTCCCTGCACAATATAATATAATCCACCCTCATTGGCGTTCATCTTATTTCCCGGGCGGAATTGAATTTCGAAGACGTCGAAAGGTGACATGTCAAATTTTATGCCGTATAAGCGTAAAGCAAGAAGCACTTCGTCTTGGTTTTGGCAACGATTATGCTTTAATAAGATACTCCACTTTTATGTTATGGAAAACTGCAAATAAGAATGAAAAACAAAGTTATGTCGATTTAAAAAACCATTTAAATTCCTCTCCTCACCTATGCTGAAACATTTTAATTTATGCTATTATGTTATGCCAAATCTTAGAATATGTTGATGTCTACATACTTATTTCATTCCATTTTATAAAATACTCTACAATTTTTCACTTTCTTTCTTATATTTATTTATAAAAACAATGGGAATATCTTAGAAAAAAAAAAATTATGAAAAAGAAAAAATTTTCAAAAAAATTTTTTTCAAAAAAATTTCCTTCGTTTATTCATCGTCACAATAATCTCTGAGAAATATAAATGGTTCCGTCTCGTTTTCGTTTCTTTTTCATAATTGATACAATTGATGCATTCATTTAATAATAAGTTTATTTATAATTGTTTTGGTTTATTTTTGATTTATTTATCATTTTTATATCACTTTGAATAAAATAAATCGAAACAACTTACATTTTCGAGAAAATAAATACAGTATTTAATAACTTG